CCTTATCCAATGAAGTGATTCGCAATGGATTGAAAGCTCAAAGATGGACAATCGAAGAGGGTTTTGACCTTGAGAAGCCAGAGTGTGTTGCTGAAGCGATCAATGCACTGAAGAGGGATTGTCCGACAAAAATTTGGGCATCTTTGCGTTGCACTCCTTGGACATCGATACAACACATCAACCAACGGACACCACAACAAGTGAACAATTTGCGGAGAATGCGTTTGAGATCAAGAAAACAACTTCGACACATCTTGGAGATTTTTCGCCAAGCACTGCTCCAGGACTCTGGAACGGACTTCTACTTCGAGTGGCCAAAGAACGCAACGGAAGGCTGGCGACTTCGTGAATTGGAACAATTTGAACAATGGTACAATGCAACTTTTTCCAAACCTCTTTACAGAACAGTGGTCCATGGTTGCATGGTTGGTTTGTTGGATGAAGAGGGCAATCACCTACACAAGCCGTGGCAGATCCTGACAAGCGACCAACACTTCCATATACATGCTGGGATTACATGTGACGGACAACATACACACAAAAGTATTTTGGGTTTGGGAACACATGCAGTTGCAAAAACAGCCTTTTACCCTGTGAAGTTTGCGAAGAGAATTGTTCAGGTTTGGAAGCACGAGCAATTCTCAGCATCAGAGCCCAAGATTTTACAATCACTCCACACGATGGACCAGGCTCAAGATCCTCATCTACACCCTGACCGTGCACTTCAAGCTTTTCAGAATCTGGAAGATGCATATCCGGTCGAACGCAAACGTACACACACTGAAACGCAAGATGGGGAAATGGAGACAGATCAAGCAGCAGAAGACGAAACTCTGGAACAGGACCCAACAGTTTCAAACAGTCAAGGTGGTAGCAGCATACTTCCTGAAGTATCTCATGAAGAACGTGAAAAAGGTAAAGTTCTTTTGCACCGACTTCACAAATCCGCAGGTCATCCTTCAAACCAAAGTCTAGCCCGACTGATTCGAGATCGAAAACTACCTGGATGGCTAGTGGATGAAGCGAAGAAACTGCAATGCACTCAATGTTCTGAGGTACTCCCTGGAAATCAACTAGTTCTTCACCGTTCCATTGGAGAACATCCGAGACCTTGGCAGATGGTGGGCATGGATGTCTTCGAACTACATTTTCCATCACAGAGGGTTAAGGGACGTTTTCTGTTGATGACATGTCTTGCAATGCATTTTACAGCAGTTGCACCACTTTGGATTGGAAAATTTTCACAGACTGGAACGGACTCTGGTGAGAAACTGATTTCCACGTTTTGTGATGTTTGGCTACATCATCGTCCTCGACCAGAATGGGTGGTAGTAGACTCACAGTCAAGCCTCATCAACGGTTATTTCCCTACATTCATGCACACAGCTGGAATCGGTATGTTAGCTTCTCCAGGGGAAGGACATTGGATTCATGGGAAGACGGAAGCTATGGTACGAACCATCAAGCGTACTATGAAACGAATACGACAAGAACATCCTCTACTAGCTCCTTCAATTGTTGGCACACTAGCTTCACATGCAGCAAACCACACTGTTCGTTCTACTGGTTTTCTCCGGTGCAATGGGCCTATGGTTATGACCCCGATGAGTTAGAGAGAAAGAATGACCCGTTGCAAGCGAATGGAGAGAAGCTTTTTGGTCCTAGACATTTCAAAGAATTTCAATCCATGCGTGCTCGAGCAGGTGAACTTTTCCGTGAAGAATCTGCACGTCAAGCTGTGTCTCGACTATGGAATTCTGCTCCTCGACCTTTGATAGATTATCAGGTTGGAGACTTTGTGATGATTTGGCGCACTATGACATTGAAAGCACGAAAACGGGATGAAAACTACAATCCAGAAGCAAGATTTTTTGGACCAGGACGAATAGCATTGATAGAGCCTACAATTTTGGAAGACAAGCGGAAGGCTATCATTTGGGTTCTTTGTGGAACAAAACTGTATAGGTGTGCACGTGAACAACTAAGACCAGCAACTGAACAAGAGACAGTGGTTGAGATTCTGAGATCTGGTGAGATTTTGTCGAAACCTCGTACTGAACTTCTTTCACGACTGAAGAATTTCACAGATGTTTCAAAAGAGCCTTTTTCTCCAGATCATCCTGAATACCAATCAGAGGAGACTGAGCGGAAGAAAGCTCGACTGGACACTGTATCAGCTCTGCGTGCCAGGTGGGAACAATTGGTATCGATTAACCAGAACCGGAGGCAGGAAGGACTTCCTCCATTGATGCAGCTTCCAGCCCAAGTGTTGGAACAAAGTCCAATGATGTATACTTTTGAAGATTCTGATCCACAACATGTTGAATGTTCACCCGGAGTTCAAACAGCAGAAAACACAGTGAGGAACATTCATCTTTTGGATCAAGAGACGCAGAAACTGGTTTTGGAGAGAATCCACTTGCTGGAAGAGGAAGTCAAGATGAAACAAGAGACAGTGCAGCTTCATGAAATGATCACTCAGGAACGCGAAGATGAAGCTCATTTCCTGTCCTTCATCCAGGACGACTTCCAGAGACCCGAGAAGGACCGTCAATGGGTCTTCCAGATTGAGTTCGACGTTTCGGAAGAGATTGCTGATGCTAATCCGTTTTTGTACGTGAAGCGAGTCTTGGAAGGGAACAAAAACGTAGAGATTACCTACAAGCAACTGTCTCCAGAGCATGTTCCTTTGTTTGATGAAGCAAAAGCCAGAGAGGTCGCTGAAGTTTTGGGTTCAATGGCACTTCGCGCAGTACAATCTAAAGAAGAACTGAAAGAAGCTTTGAGCCATCCTGAACGCCATATTCCCATGAGATGGGTCCTTACTTGGAAACCGATTCAACCTCCTGAACCTCCGCCTCCAGGTAAACCAACTTCAGTGATGCCAGACGGTAGTTGTAAAGCTAAAGCTCGGGTAGTACTTCTAGGGTTTAAACATCCAGACCTTGTGAAGAGAAATCCAATCACAGGTCAGCCAGAACTTAAGGCAGCAGCACCGACCATTTCACGCACAGGGAGAAACCTTCTCCTTCAGTGTTTTGCTTTCGATGAACATGAGATTGAATCTGCCGATGCTAAATCTGCATTTTTGCAAGCTGCTAATTGTGAAGAAGATAGGCGCTTGTGGACGAAGGCAGTTCCAGAGATTGCAGTGTCTCTTGGACTGAAACCAGGGCAGTTGATGCGTGTCTTGGGTGCCATTTATGGCCTTACCAATGCTCCTCGCATCTTTTGGCAAGATGTAGATTTGAATTTCCAAAAGCTCGGTGGGATTCCTCATCCCATGGATCGATGCATTTGGGTTTTTCGTGATCCCGAAGGGTCGGTTTTTGCCAGAATTGGTAGTCAAGTAGATGACTTTCTAATGGCAGGAAATCCCAAGAATAAGTTTTGGATTGCTTTGAGAGAAAAGATAAAGGGTATGTATCAATGGAGTCCTTGGAAAAAGGGTGATTTTGTGTATGCCGGATGCCGAATTCGCCAACTCACTTCCTACTCCATCCATGTCTCGCAAGAAGATTTTTGCAACTCTTTGTCTCCTGTGGCAAATCAATCAGACGGCTCTCGCAGTGACAAAGATCCGATGACTCCATCGGAAACTTCGCAAGCTCGAGCGCTTTTGATGAAAGCGCAGTGGAGATCTTTGCAGAGTGCTCCTCAATACGCTGCTCGAATTGGCATAGCTTCTTCCACGTTGTCGGATGGGAAACTGGCAAACTTGAGAGAAGCAAACTCTATCATTCGGGATATGCGTAAGACTGCAAAGGAAGATCTGGTTTTTCACAATTTCAATTTTGGAAGAACGAATAGATTGAAATACACAGATCTTGTTTTCTTGCATTGGGGTGATGCTGGACACAACAACAGACCGACAGGTGGTTCGACCGGCGGGTTTGTTTCTGGAATTTCTTCACCGGAAATCTTGAAGGGCAATGAAACGCCTGTAACCTTGATTGATTGGAGATCCTGGAAACTCCGACGTCCTGCCAGAGGGACGAACTGCTCAGAAGCTCAAGGAATTGCAGAAGCTGAAGACAAAGGCTGGAGAACCAGACTTATGTTTGCAATCCTGTACGGACACACCCTTCGACTTGGGAAAGCAGACACTCTGACTTCCATGTTCACGAGTCTATTGATTATGGACTCTCGCGGGTGTTATGACCTACTGGTGAGCAATGAATCTCTTGCCATGTCAATGTCAGACTCTAAGGCTGCAATAGACCTACTTCATGTCCAGAAAGGAATACAGGATGGTACAAACTGTTTTGCTACGTGGGTGCCTTCAGACCTCAACCTAGCTAATTCTCTCACAAAAGCTTCTATGGATGCATATAGAGAGATGAAACTGTTCCATACCAACAAAAGCTGGATAGTGAAGTTCAACGAAGAGTTCATTTCTGCTCGTAAGATGCAACGACTGCGAACACAAAAGAAGAAAGAAGAGCAGAAACAAGGCCTGCATTTTGCAGATATGCCAGAAGTTTGGATGGATGATGCCTGGACCAACCTTTTTGCCACAGCTTATCTAAGATAAGCGATCACAGATATCTTCTCTTCAACTCCAAAAGCACTGAATCTGTGCTAAGTTGAGAGGAGTTTCATTGGTGTTTCATGAAATGTGTGAAGCCCGATTTTACCAACCTTAGCACATCTCAGTGGTCTACGGAACCACAGGTGCGGGGTACTCATGTTCTCGTCCGCAGGGGCGCCTCTTGAGCTCAGACTTAGACGGAGTGTTAAAAGGGTGGCACGGACCGCCTAAGCCATGTTTTGATCCTCCTTGTTTGATCTCGTCTTTCCGCTTTCGCACGACGTTCGCAATCTACGCAACTTGGCGGTTTGACACACAAGCCACTGAAACCTGATCCAGACATCACTAATCCAGATGTTCATCATATTGGAGTGGTAGTGTAGTCATATTGTTTTAGTCTCCCTAAACAACAACTGGGAACATTAGGACGCACAAGTTCGAGCTCGATTTGGTCAGCTTTGAGCAGCTCCTCCAAGCATCGGAAGGCGTGTCATCTTCACTCTCCTCCTTCTCCTTCTGCACTGTGGGACTGCGCCGTCCCTGGCTTCCAGGAACTCAGGCTTCAGGGCACTCCCTAGTAGCGTCCTTGCTCCTAGTAGCGATGCCCTTTGTTACGTGCAGCGTTACTAGTAGTATGGCCAGGAGCTGCTAGTAGCGTCCTTGCCCCTAGTTTACCTTGCTAAATGATTCTTGATGGGGGTAGATCCCGTCACCCAACCTATCCTCCCCCAAAGAGCTTCAGATCTTCTATCCTTGCCTTGAGGAGCGGCTTCTCATGCACCGCATGGAAAGCATGGCCTGCCGGCTCAAGCCTTCGCCTCAGGTGTCACATACATCACCCAAGAGCGCATTTGCTCTCCATGCCAGGGGGGCGATCGCAGGCAAATGCCGCAAAGGACTTGGGAGTCCTGAAGGATTCACAAGTTTGCCCTGTTGCAATGAACACCTTACCACGAGATGCTACAACTTTTTTGTTGTGCCAGAAAGTAAAGGGGGACGATATTTCTTACCTCCGAATTTGGCCCTTTCATTCCAAGACGGAGTCTTTGAGTTCTCAAATAAGTCGAAATCATACAAAGTAACCATTTAATTTGCTCAGCAAGTGCTCAGCACTTACACCTGGTCAGTATCGCCGGGCGCTGGGAGTGCCAGCATGGCGACGAAATAATGACCATCAGCGGGTAAAGCTAGCTATGTCTCGTATGTGGCCTAAGCAACAAAAAACGAAAACCTGCCAACGCCAAAGGCAAAAGGTTGCATGGTGAAGGTTAGAGGAGCACTACTTCGTTGTACAGTGGACTTCATGTCAAAAATAAAGTCTTTTTGACTGCTCAAAATTGTATTGTCTATGTAAGGCGCAATCAAACATGCCGCACAATGAAACCCACACCGCTCAGTCATCCAATTCTCTGCGATCCAAAATGCTTCATGCCAGAGGACTTGGAGGGGCTTCGGTTTTGGCAAAACCCCATATGTTGTTGTCTTTTTCTACATTGATGACAGTCCGAAATAAGGCTCCCCCAAAGAAGAGGGACTTTGGATGCGTACTGGGGAGGAAGAGAAGCCAAGATCCCGCTGCAGGAAAACAGAGCCATGTGAATCTTAGCAGGCCAACCAGAAACATTGTTCTCGGCAGTGCCTGGTTGGATCCTCAAACGAATGCCGAAAACAGTGAAAAACACGTTGTTACTTTGTTGAAGGGATCTTTTCTAGTGCTGGGAACTGACGGCCTTAAGGAGCACTCTGCAAAACAATGCGTGCGCAGAAAAATGCAATTAGGAGCAAGGACGCTACTAGGGGCTCCTGGCCGTACTACTAAGAACAAGAAGCTACTAGGGGCTCCTGGCATGGCTACTAGGAGCAAGGACGCTACTAGGGAATTTTTATTCTGCAAAACGGCACTTCCTGGAAGACGACTCTTCGCGCGTGGGAAAGACAGAACCTGAAGGAATTCATTCTATTGTGAGCGATCACGCTGGCAGCCCAGCTGGATGCCTTGGTTGTGCTAGTTAGTAGTTACGCGGTTACCCGTGCAGCGACTGCGCGCTAACAATTCTGGCGATTTGGGCTTACTCTGACACGCTGTTTGTGCTGGCTCCACGGAGAACACTGAGACTCATTATGCTGAGTACGCTGACTATACTAGTTAAGCTGGTTGCGCTGACCTCTCTAGTCATCTGGCACTTGGTGTAACCCGTGTCATCGGTGTAACTGATGTAAAAGGTGTTGGCGGTGTAGCCAGTGCATATAGTTAGCGTGAACCTAGTAACTCGTGCAACTGGTGCACAGACAAATTGTGGACACTGATTGTGCTAGCAACCAAGAGCCCTTGCAAGATTCCGAAAGGAAGCCGGAAGAACAAGAAATGAGCTTCGTACAAAGCGGCTCTGTCGAGATTTGTGTGTGCTTCCTGCCACAAACCCAGCTTCTCCAATCTCACTTCGCTCACAATAAATAACTCAGCCCAGCCTACACTGCGGTTTTCGTAAAATAGCTTTGGTGAGTGTACCCATTCATCATCCCTCATGATCTCATGTATTTGTGTTCCACTTGGCCCTAACATGTCACCCCATTTCCCTGCAGCAACCGATGCATACCTTTTGGCGGAACCGATGGTGACCGCAAATGGACTTCAAGTCCACAAGGATCGAGAAAGCAATTGAGTTGCTCAGAAGCTTTTCGGCAAAGGCCACAGAAGAAACTTTTTGCTCCTTCATTTTGCATGGCTACCTTAGACAGGACAAAGATTGGTGAAGGAGAAGGCCTTGCTGCTTCAAACCCCCAAAAGCAATGAAACTCGGCTTCACTGCTGGCGTATTGATTGGTTCGCCGGCTGTGCCTTGGCGCCCAAAGGCCAGCTATACAGTATATGACCAAATGCAGTGTCAACCCCAGAGTTTCCATGGAAGAGTTGCTCACCACATCAATATCAGCCAATCAACATGTTCGAACTAATCACTACATGCTCACTGAATGCTCACTGACTCACAAAAACAACCACTCGAGGATACTCGAGGCCTGACTTCGACTGAGGGCCCCACTGGCAGGGATTGACTCAGAGCTCCTGACTGCATCGCCTGCGCACTGCGCACATACATCAATCACAAGTTAATATGCAAGTCTCCCAACACCAAGAGAAGTCCTCAAAAGCAACAGCAGCTCAACACAGAATCATGCAATGTTCATCAGCAACTCCCGATGCCGGTCTTTTCCCCCGCTAGAAGGGCGGCAACCCCCATTCTTCTGGCCGAAAGTCCTGTGAACACAGCGAAAGAAGCAAATCAACAGGAAGAAAATCCAGGAGGTCCTCCAAGGATAGCAGCTCGCAATGAGCCTTTCCACACAAGCTCCGGCTGAGATTAGCGTCGGGCACATGGCAAACCTGAATCGAAACATGCGCTGCTTCATGAAACAAGATGGAACCCACGAACCCGAATGCAAACACGTTCGAAAAACTACATATGTCCAAATGACACTCTTGTAGGACACTTGTCGGACACTCTTGTGGGACACTCTTGTGGGACACTCTTGCAGGACACTCTTCTGGGACACTCTTGTAGGACACTCTTGTAGGACACTCTTGTGGGTCACTCTTGTAGGAAACTCTTGTGGGACACTCTTGTAGGACACTCTTGTGGGGCACTCTTATAGGACACTCTTGCGGGACACTCTTGTGGGGCACTCTTGCGGGACACTCTTGTGGGACACTCTTGTAGGACACTCTTGTGCGACACTCTTGTGAGACACTCTTGTAGGACACTCTTGTGGGTCACTCTTGTAGGAAACTCTTGTGGGACACTCTTGTAGGACACTCTAGTGGGACACTCTTATAGGACACTCTTGCGGGACACTCTTGTGGAGCACTCTTGTGGGACACTCTTGTGGGACACTCTTGTAGGACACTCTTGTGCGACACTCTTGTGAGACACTCTTGTAGGACACTCTTGTGGGTCACTTGCAGGACACTCTTGTGGGACACTCTTACACGACACTCTTGTGGGACGCTTCTTTGGGTCACTTGCAGGACACTCTTGTGGGACACTCTTGTAGGACACTCTTGTGGGATACTCTTGTGGGTCACTCTTGTAGGAAACTCTGTGGGACACTCTTGTAGGACACTCTTGTGGGACACTCTTACACGACACTTGCGGGACGCTCTTGTGGGACACTCTTGTAGGACACTCTTGTGGGACACTCTTGTAGGACACTCTTGTGGGACACTCTTGTGGGACACTGTTGTGGGCACTTGCAGGACACTCTTGTGGGACACTCTTGTAGGAAACTCTTGTGGGACACTCTTGTAGGCCACTCTTGTGGGACACTCTTGTGGGACACTCTTATAGGACACTCTTGTGGGACACTCTTGTAGGACACTCTTGTAGGACACTCTTGTGGGAAACTCTTGTGGGAAACTCTGAAGGGACACTCTTGTGAGACACTCTCGAGCGACACTCTTGCGGGGCACTCTTGTGGGACACTCTTGTGGGACACTCTTGCGCGACACTCTTGTGGGACACTCTTGTGGGACACTCTTGTAGGACACTCTTGTAGGATACTCTTGTGGGACACTCTTGTAGGAAACTCTTGTGGGACACTCTTGTAGGAAACTCTTGTGGGACACTCTTGTAGGACACTCTTGTAGGACACTCTTGTGGGACACTCTTGTGGGACACTCTTCCAGCTCCCCAGACACTCCGCGTACTAAAGTTGTACTACAAGGTCGCAGTTCTCACCTTCCACCTCCACAGATTGCTCCGCGTACTAAAGTTGTACTACAAAGTCGCCAGTTCTCAGCTTCCAGCTCCACAGATTGCTCCGCGTACTAAGGTTGTACTACCAAGTCACCAGTTCTCATCTTCCAGCTTCGCAGATACTCCGCGTACTAAAGTTGTACTACAAAGTCGCCAGTGCTCGCCTGCATTTCGCGCGATCGACACGCGCGATCTCCGCAGAGGGTTGCGCGGGCACCGGACAAATCGCACTCTCGCCTGCATTTCGCGCACTCGACACGCACGATCTCCGCAGAGGGTGGTGCGCGGGCACCGGACAAATCGCACTCTCGCCTGCATTTCGCGCACTCGACACGCACGATCTCCGCAGAAGGGTGGTGCGCGCGCATGGGACAAATCGCACTCTCGCCTGCATTTCGCGCACTCGACACGCACGATCTCCGCAGAGGGTTGCGCGCGCATGGGACAAATCCCACTCTCGCCTGCATTTCGCACACTCGACACGCACGATCTCCGCAGAGGGTTGCGCGTCAAGCCTTCAGAACGAGCGTTTCGTACGAGACTTCCTCAAAAACTCACACGTCAAAGTCTGCAAAACGAGCGTTTCGTACGAGACTTCCTCCAAAAGTCAAGCGGAAACATCCATCGGAGCACACACATCACGCAGCCGTTTTGCGATTCCAGCCCCTCCAAACAACATCCGCTCACACGCCAATCCCAATGTGACAGCGACATTAACCTCTACCACAACTCACAACCTCACGAATCCCTGCGCCTGCCACGAATCTTTCCGCGTCCACACGTCTAACGCGCACAAAGTACTGCGCCTGCCACGAAATGTCACCTCCGTCACACCTCGCAACCTCACGATTCCCTGCGCCTGCCACGAGAATTGCGCTTCCACGCCTCAAAACCTGCACAAAGTCCCGCGCCTGCCACGAAAAGTGACAATATCATCTCATATGAGCTTCAAGAAAATTTGCACCACACCACACGTTTGGAATGATTTCCACCCATTCTGCGCACACGCCCATCCAGCAAAATCGCCATTTCAGCTGAGACTTGTCACGAAAACCGAGCTTCGATGCCACACCCTGAAACGCAAATCCCAATGGCACGGCCACATCCAACACCCCAAAAACACGACTCTCCAAACGCTAATCCCAATGGAACTGCGCAGCAAACTGCGGATCTCACAAAACGCTGCGCCTGTGCAGCGAAATGCATCGTGTTTCTTGCGCGACATGTCATGGTCCTGCAAATCACAATGTAATAGCGGCGCAAACTGACACGTGACACGTCCATGAAAAGTCACTTGCAAAAGCTTCCCCCAATGGCAGCAAATTTGAGACGCGACGACGACGACAAACGACGAGAGACGACGACAAACGACGAGAGACGACGAGCCGACGCAAGCCATGCAAACATAGCTCCAACCCCCAGACCCCCAACTATAAACGGGAACCCTTCGCTACGCATTCGGGAAAAAGAACAAGGAACTCTTGACTTCACTTTCTGAAGCACAATTTGCCAGAACGCTGAACAAGCACAACACAAATGAGCATTGCTAGGTACCAACCTTGTCACACCCCTTCGTGACACTTTTTGGCTTGCTGTTGGCTTGCGAGTGCTCTTTTTTTCCCTTACGATGCACTTCGTTGCAGTCTTGCAACCAAAAGAAGCACGTAGCCGCTTGGCATGGAGTCATACTTCGCGTTGTCGGGCCGCTAAAACAATACTTGTGTTTTGGAAAGGGTCTCCGTTGTGAACAGCTTCGCTGGCTCTAAACAACCATTGCTGTCGAGGGCGCTCAACCCTGTGTTTTCCAAACATGGACAGGCTCAGCGCTATCATATTACGAAACTTGTCTGACGAGGTCTGAATTTGGCGCGCGTAGTACAGCTCTGTGAAAGGAAGAACCGATCGGGTAGGATCATTTGGGTATGCCGTACGAGAGGCAGGCTCATACACCCTTGCATTTGTGTTCCTGCGATCCACATAAGTGGTGGAAAGCTTTAAATCTTTAGCAGGCCCCGCAAATGGGCGGCATCCACTTTCTTTCGCAAGGCCTGTGTTGAATGTAATGTCTCAAGGCTATATGCGGCTATATAGGAGCTTGCTTTTGATCACTGCATATATAAGTTATAAGGAGTTGCCATTATATATTTGCAGCAGAATCCTTCCCAAACAGGGAAAGTTTATTCCATGTGCGCTTTGTGTCCTGGAGTCCTGTATTTGTTGTGAAACTTCTCTTCTGAGGTCCACTGTGTGGTTCAGGTTATTTCCTAAATAGGTGGCTTCTTCGGCTTTGACAAGGGGTGTCTCGTCTCGAAAATGGATGTTGGCGCCACGATTCATATGAATGGATTGGCACTTGGCCCGGTTGATACGCAATCCGTGGTTTTCCGAACAATCCTTGATATGTTTCAAGAGTTCGTTGACACCTCGTGGCTTCGTGGAAAACAAAATTGTGTCGTCTGCGTAAAAAACTGCATCGAATCGCACCCCTGGAATCCTCTAGATGTCCTCTACACAAGTCTATTGCCCGTGCTCTATTCAGTCTAGATCCACTTTTACGAGACTTTCACAAGCTTTCATAGAGAGGGAGTGAACTGAAGAACAGCATTTGCGCGCTTTTGCGAAGCTAACTTTTTGTGAATCTTTCGTGCCCCTCTCGTGACTGTGTGTTTGCTGGCAAAAGCATCTTGCTTAAGCCTCCCCTTTAAAGTGGTACCTGGGAGGTGTTTTTTGTGGGGAACTCCAGAATTGCAATATGTAGCTGGCCAGTAGAAACGGAGATAGTTTTTGCCTCACGCTGGTTGAGTTCAGCCCAACTTACTTTGAGACCGGCCTTGAGGCGCAGCTTCATCACGGAATTCAGATACATACAAGTCACACAAGTCCCCGTACATGCAAAAGCAGGTTTGCGGCTGGCAGACTCAAGATGCTACATTTGCAGTGACCAACCGGATCTTCTGCGCTTTCTTCTTAAAGGATCCATGACAACAGTCCTCATCCTGATCTCCGATTGTGTTTTGTCCAATGACAACCCAAATCTTGATCCAAACCTTGCCCCAGAAATCCGCCTGCATTCTGGCTGCTAGGCCAGCTTCAACACCACTTGGCGCATCCTGCCAAGGTCAAGTGCTCTCTCAAGATTGGCCCGGGCCTTTTTTGTGAAAAGCCTCTTGGAATGGGAAGGTAGCTTGGGAGGTCTGAATATCAATTTGTCCATTCGCCAGAGTTACAGCAATTTTAGACAAGTTTAGCTCCACAAATGAGTGCAATAATGCAACTGAAAAATTGTGCAACATGAAACTGCAGAACGTGCCCCTGGGACTATCAAGTCCTCAAAGACCAGCACCTGCTGTTCTGGTGCTGCCGGAGTAAACAAACTGGCAGCATGGGTGAAGATCTCCGGATTTGGCTTGGACTTTGATACCTCACAGACTCTGCAAGAATCTGCAAGTCTGTCCAAGTCTGTCATGTTTCACTTCCTCTGTCTTCCTGTAATACGTCTCAACGCAGGTCATCAACAAACACCTTGGCACCTGATCGCCCGTGACGATGTGGTTCATCAACGCAAAGAGCTCTTTGTGCAGGGAAGTCTTCAGATCAAAGTGGCGACGATGGGATGAGGTCGCCACCGCCATGGGAATCCCATGCTTGTGAAGATGTCGCACCAGCCGCTCTACACCAGGGAGAAGAGCCGCTTTGGCGAAGAGCACATCCAGCCTGGAAAACACTAGCAACACAATTGATTTGGTAAGAGATCAGTGTCACTGTCAATACATGATGAAGTTGCCTCGACTTGTCTGCTCATTGAAGAAGAGTGTACGTGCACCAAGCCCGTCCTCCTTTCTCGCTCTTCCAAGAAAGCTTGCGCTGTGATTTCGCTGCTGAGACCCAGCTCGTCGATGCAAAGCTGACAAGCATCCAAGGCCTCGAGGCGGCTGCACAAAGACTAACAAGAAGAAAAAAAACAGTATATAGTGATGGCCTCCAACCTAATAGCGATGGCCTCCAACCTACTAGCAATGGCCTCCAAGCCCAACAAACTTCACAAAGCCCACTCTGCCACTCAAGCTCTTCAGTTTTCTGGCAAAACGCAAAAGGACTCTGTCCTTGTCAAAGCACGAAGCTTCCTCAATTTAAGAGGTTTCAGGCTCCCCACAATCACCCGAATCGTGCCCTTCAGTCACAGCTTTGCTGTGGGCTGCACTAGTTTGCAATCTGAAAACTGTCATTAGCTTGTTAACTATGCTCTCTCAAAAGCATCCCACTTATCCTGATCAACCCCTTTGAGAATGGCTGGAACCATGCCAGAGATGATCTTCTCCATGTCAGAACAGCTGGCAGGTCTAGTGGTGTAGGTGAACTTGGAAAAAGAGCGGCTGTCGCGATCTGCGGACCGCAAATCTTCACTCACTAGCTTCACCACAAAGGGGCCTGCTGTGGCTCCGGGATCCGCCTGCTTGCTCACAAAGGCAAATAGAGCCACGCGCACTTGACCGCCATTGGACACCAGAATCAGATACTTGGGCTGCAAGATCCGTGGCGGAACTTTGTGTCTCATTACGAAATCAAAGCCTGGACTGGCACTGATGAAGTAGATGATGCGATCAACCACTGTCCACTGTGAGGTCATACCAAGATCAATGGCCCCTGGGATTCGGCCCAGTTCCTGTTGTAGGAACCTGAATCACAAAAGATGCACAATTGCACCACCCAAAAGTTTTATACAATTTGATACTTCCAAGGGCCGGACCACTTCAGTTTGTTGTAGCAAACCTGGCAGAAATAGCAAGCAGCTTTGGAGAACAGGAGGAAAGAACGGAGGAATGGTGTAAATCCAAAAACAGAAAGAGAAAAAGCATGAAAAGGAATAAAAAATATTATGTAGTATACAAAGAGACAAGTTGGAAACAAGCTTGAACAACCCGACCGTCTCTCCGCCTTCTCCGCGACCACCGTGTCTCCGCCGTCCAGGCCCATGCCCATGGGGAGGTCGACAGGCAACGGCACACCCGGTTGTCGGCTGGCAACAGTGAAGATCCAAATGTCCTCGGCACAAAAGGCCTCTTTTAGAGAGGACCCCTTTCACGTGGCCCTATCAAGGCGAACCAAACACCTTCATTTTGGCAGGTCTTTTTCTTCCCTGGTCTTGTCCAGCGATCTTGCAAGAATCATTGGTGAGCGTATTTGATTTCTGTCGCACTAAAACACGATAAAGCTTCCCTCGGCTGATTGTGTCAAGATTGAAGATCATCATTAAGAACATCGGTGTGTATAAAGGTTAACTCATTCCTTCCAAGCTCGGTATGCATCACACTCTGGGTTCCCAAGCGCGTTTCGTGGCCACGATGCGGCAGAAATCTCGCCGGCGTTCAGCCACGGAGACAGAATTGGCTGGATCCTCAACAAAGAAAAACGACATGAAGGTTCATCCAAGCAGCCCTGGATACAAGGTGTAAAAAGGACTGGAGACCAACGTCAGGCGTCACCCAAGTATGTGATGGCGACGCTAGAAGGAAACCAACTAGAAGAGCTCAACGGGGAGCCCCTATGAGGGTGGTGAGGCTGCCTGACCGAAGAAAAACACTTAAACACTAATCAGTGGAACCTCAAGTTTTAACATAAGAAATGTGGAAGTATCCTCCTCAATAGCCACTTTTGAGTCTTTCAGGAAACTGCTGAAACTTGGAGAAGGTGCTCAAGGCACATTGGACGTTGAAACTGACTTCGAGAACTCCGCAAGCAGCACACAAGACATAAGTGTCCACAGCTTTACGGGACTGCAAATTCAACAAGCTGACAGCGTCGGCACCCACATCAAAGAAAGGCACTTTTTTGAAACAGTGGGGGGTCTAAGTGGGATGAACATGGCCAGACACATTCCAAGAACTAGAAGTTGTAGATTATATATCTCTATATTTATATGTATGCAATACTCGAGACAACTTGGAACACCTACTTTCAACGAGAATGTGTTTGAGGCGGGATAGATCTGATAGGTTGTGCCTCTGATTTTCTGTCTGAACAGGTGTCTGGCAAACTCTTACTGATCGCAGTTGGAGAAATGATTGATGTCAAAACTGCAGCCTTGAATTTAAAACAAACAGGCAGCGTCCGCCGCTCTTTTCCTCTCAAAGCTCTGTCCTCGTGTTCAAACGAACCTCTGGGCCGCAGCTTCCCTGGAAGTGACCGCCCAGAACAGAAGAAGACGACGACAGCCAACAACGGCACTACCAGAAGCACGGCAAGCTGCACCTGAGCAACAGTACAGCAAACAACAGCAAACATGTATGTTTACCAGGACAACTCAGCCTCTTTCCCTTATTCAGGTCTCTTGTACACAAGCAAAACAGTTACAAACAAAAACAACTGCGCAATTCCTCACAATTTGTAGAAGTGTTTCATCCATGCTCGGTGTTCTGATTGGATCACAGTGATACTGTAAGTACATAAAGAAGAACAAAAAGCTGTTCAACTAGCTTTTCAGTTCATTCTTTGTTTGTATTCCGCCCACCTGGCTCTGAGTGTCCAAAGTCGCCAAGGCTTCGATACTGAAGCCGCTGGTCATGGGCCTCTGGTATACACAAGTCATTCGGAACTTTTGGAACTTGAAACGAAAAAGAGAAAGACTTGGAACACCAAAGACTTTTCGCCGCAAAAGCCCTCTTTCTGAAGCTTCTCAGCTCGTGAACCAGGCCTGCTGAAGGTCAGCTGGAAGAGGTCACGTTAGCGCAGATCGCGGGTCGATAAGTTGAGAATCTACTGTGAGAGCTGCTAAAGTCCTACATGTTCTCCTCTTCTGTTAGTCCCTCAAAGGAGGGAAAAGTCAACAAAACGACCGGATCTGTCCAGTTCTCATCTTCCAGCTACAGTCACTCTACATCTTCATCTAGTAGTGTTTTTGATAACTTTTGCCGATCAACCAGCTTTTGGGATGGTGTTACTTGACGCTCTACGCAAAGAGCATCACAAACCAACGGTTTCGAGCCACGTGGCATCTTCGTCGCCAAACTTTTGACTTTAAAGGTTTATGAGTCCCTTCCAGTCTCTCTGCTCTTTGCTTGTTCAACCAAATCACAGCTTTCGCATGCTCTCTCATATGCTCTCTAAGATTGCCTTTTTGCCCATCATCTTGGCTTTCAGGTCCCAGGTAAATTTCCTCAGCCAAGCACCAAGCCTGCCCTCACAGCCCCTGGTGACCTGGCTCGTAACAGGCCCCCAGCCTGTTCCACTTGTCCAGAATTGCCTGTTGGGCAACAGAATATGCACCTCATGTGGTAAGCAGCTCACCAGAGAATGTACCAATCACTTTCCCTGTGGCCTTCACAAGGCTCCAAGGGCACAACTTTCCGTGTCCAACAGTAGGCCATCCATGTCGAAAACCACATGCGTTACAGCCTCACAATGCACTGGGTGCCACTGAGTAGGGTGCATTCGGATCATGGTGGCAAACACCCATCGGTCCCCAATATCCCTTTAGCAAAGTTGCTGGAGCTTGTGCACGATGCAAAAGCTGCCGAAGTGGCTCTACAGGAAGACCCTGTACTGAATCCAGTGTGCCCTGGCAGAGCGGTCCGGGATGGCTTGGAACACGGTACGGCCTGCTACCAAACCTGTTCAAATGCTATTCCCGACATGGAAAAGACAAACCCACATCTAATCTTTCGTCAAAGAGCAGCAGGATCTGTCAAAGCCGGCCATCTGTCCAAACAAAATACAAGGCTATTGATATCCCCATGCAACATAACCAAATATCATTGGTGCCTCTACTCTTTGTCGGTATGGCTGCAGGCTCTCATCTTCCACCTAAATGAGGAAAAAAACAGAAGGGTAGGAAAACAACAACAACAACAGCAACAACAGCGAAGTAGCAGCAACAGGAATGCTGTCAGCAGCCACTGCTTGGGCCAAAGAACTGCCAGCTCTAAGCACGCAACCACCACGCCACCAGAACATGTGAATAGTTCGCCCTTTATGATGAGAGAGTCGATGACCTGCAAAAAAAAGAGGCGTGTTCAGAGAACTGAAATGACGGCTACAGTATGGTTCAAGACTCAAGACTTCAGTGGATTAAAGGAATCAATCCAGTCCAGCAACACCAACACGGAAGCCCCTATATACCTTACTGCATCTCGCTGTGCTGTTGTTCAGTCCGTGGGTTTTGACCTTTGTCCAAAGCAAGAACTCCCACCTCATCTGGAAATTCGTTCCACTGGACCTTCGATGAATTCAGGGAGGAGATGCGCCTGGAGGAGTGAAGGTTCCAGCTTGAGAGGGTGGAGTAGGTCGATTTGTCGGTTCAGTTGGTTCCGTTCCTCCGTTCAGAAAGAGCCTTCCCGTAGCAGTGTTGTGCACTACCATTCCGTTGATGAAAGTGGCCGGGCTTCCTTGCCTGCATCAGGGGCCAAGTCACCCACAAGAGTGGGCTTGCCTAATTCAGCATGAGAAACCAATAGAAATTTGCACCAGGAGGACCAAAAGCAAAGGGGACTATATGACAAGGGCAGGGACCAGAGCAATTTTATACAGTAGCAGGGTTTCAGGGCGGAGAGTTGCAAGCAAAACCTGAAACCAGAGTAGAGATTCCAAGGCTCGAAGGGGTTCAAGCGAAAAGTCGAGGTCAAGGCCTAGTTCCATGGTTCCAGGCGAGAAATTCCAAGAAAGCCTGGCTCCAGAGTTCCGGTGGCCATCAGGGCCTGCCCCTACAGCTTTCAGCTATCTGGGGGACAAGGTCACCCAACACCTCCCCAGCTCACTCATGCAAGCTTCACCTTTCCGGCAGGTTCTTCTTTCACCAAATTGCAGCGACCTATGACATGGCCGGCCTGTAGGACTCCAGAAACTCACGAGCCTGGCAGGCTATAAGGGTGACACAACAGCCTCGTGTGAAGTGTGACGGGCCTCTTTTTCGTTCTCGGGCTTCTCTCGGACACCTCCATCGCAGCTCACCACCTCTCAAACATGTTCCCTAGTCTAAACAACTAGATTTCTGTCCAGCCTGGTCCATGCAAATCAGCAGAACCTCTTTTTGCAGTTTGGGGAGCAAGGCATCAGCCTGCGCTGATCAACTCCTATCGAACTGATCAGAAGTGATCGAGAACTGAGCAACTGAGCAATGGCTACTCAATTCGATTCCAATCAATCCCTGCCTTGGCTCGGGCTATGGCTAAACACATGTCTTCAGGTCGGGTCGCGCGGATGGCCTCGCGTGTCTTCAAATCGTTCGTGTTTCTGCAACTTTTTGAACTCTGACCCCAAACCTTCTCATCGATATCTGGTGACATGAAATCACTCTCCAGCTCCGGGAATTCACGCCTTGAGAGCCATGTGGAGGAAAAAGACATGGCCATGGGCGTGAATGATTCAGGGCGTCTTGTTCATCCTTTTTCTATGATTTTGTTACTAGTAGCGAACATTGTTCCTAGTAGTAAGGCCAGGAGCCCCTAGTGCCCTTTGTTACTAGTAGCTTCTTGTTCCCAGCATCTTACATCCTTTTCTATGGAGTCTTTAGTAGCTCATGCTGTACAAGCTCCTCGGACAAGTCCGGCCTAAAGACTTCGCGGCGCCATTTGCTGGAGCTTCCAAGGACCAAAGGCAACTGCGGCCTGGATCGCTTCCTGAAGCTCACAGAGCGGCTCACACCCGCTGATGGCTTTTGTGGCTTCTATGGCTTCTCAAGGTTTTGCGGATAAGTGGGGATTCTTCACCTTGCTTGTAGTTTCTTTCTGATAGCTGCAATATGCTGCATTCAACAGGAGACAATCATGTCCCCTTTGTCATCCCACTGTAACCTCAAATCAGTTTGGCTGACACTCAATGGCATCCTTTTGACAAGTGTCATTGCAGCCTCGCCGATTCTGGAGGGCTTGTCACATCCAAAGTGGGATCAAGCAAGAGCACATGAAATCAGAGAGGCATCTAGGCGTTGCCAACAAGGATTTCGTCTACAGTGCTTTAAAGAGACACCAGGATTTGGTTCCATGTGTGGTCAGCACGGAGTTGGATCTCTTGCGAGTTGATCTGAGCTTTTCTCTTGCTTGGCTTGAGCAGCATGACGACACTGCAGTCAGGACTTAAATCGACTCGATCAAGCATTCCGGGCTTCTCTGAGGTTCTTGAATGAGCCTGCTCGAACTCCTCGCGTGAGAGAGCTCCACTGCCATCTTTGTCAAGTCTGCTGAACCAATCTCCGCCTGATACCTGACAATGTAGATGCTGAGAAATGCTGTGCACGCTTTGAATTCCAAAACGGAAAACCGAGCAGGAATCTGTAAGCCATGCACTGCCCCACTCCCCGAAGCATATATTCTCTGCGTCCCGGTAGTGAAGCCAGCAGATGCTGGTGCTTGTGGAGGAGTGGAAGCACCTTGATACCTGCGGCCCCCCCAGCCCTTCCAAGAGATTGTTCAAAAAAACTATGCAAGAAATTCAGCAAAGAGGTTCGCACGTTATCACACCACTCCCTGGCAATCTGCAAGTTCTGATGCAGTTCGAAAAACTACATATGTCCAAATGACACTCTTGTAGGACACTCTTGTGGGGCACTCTTCTGGGACACTCTTGAGTGGAGCAGTTGTTTTGCCGCAAGAAGGATGCTGAGGCTGAAGCGGCGCAGATTGCCCTAGTCAGCCCTTTTGCGCGGCGGGTGCCACAGAGACCGCGGCAGGGTATGCGAGGAATCACGTCTTTCCCGATTCCCCGGAGCGCAATGAACCTTCTCTCGATGAGATGAGCCCAGAAGCACTGCAAAACCTCTGGCGATCTGCACGCAGCGACGCTGAGGAATGCGAAGAGCGGCTCATTGCATATCTCAAGCAGGAGCACAAGCAGACCGTCGAGAGGACCGAGCAACTTGGGATGGAGATTAAGAACCAGGATCGTATTGTGAAGGATACGAAGGCCCAAATCAATGAACTGAGAAGCAGGCAACCAGTTGCGCAAGCTGCGATCCAAAGGCTCAAGCAGGACAAAGAAGCCTTAGAACGAGACCTGGAGAGGAGCAACGCAAGCGCTGCAAGACAGAATCGAGAGGCACATCTTCCACCATGCATTCGCATTGTGAATAGACATTTGGAGGGAGATCCCGGCTACATGAGCGTCCAAAAAGATGTCATGGTGGTGGCCACGCACTTGGAGACACTCTCTTGTGAGACACTCTTGTAGGACACTCTTGTGGGTCACTCTGAAAAACACTCTTGTGGGACACTCTTGTAGGACACTCTTGTAGGACACTCTTGTGGGACACTCTTGTGGGCCACTCTTGTGTGACACTCTTCTAGGAAACTCTTGTGGGACACTCTTGTGGGACACTCTTATAGGACACTCTTGTGGGACACTCTTGTGGGACACTCTTGTAGGACACTCTTGTGGGACACTCTTGTGAGACACTCTTGTAGGAGGACACTCTTGTGGGTCACTTGCAGGACACTCTTGTGGGACACTCCTACATGACACTCTTGTAGGACACTCTTGTGGGACACTCTTGTAGGACACTCTTGTGGGACACTCTTGTAGGACACTCTTGTGGGACACTCTTGTGGGACACTCTTGTGGGACACTCTTGTAGGACACTCTTGTGGGATACTCTTGTCGGACACTCTTAAGGGACACTCTTGTGAGACACTCTTGAGCGACACTGTTGCGGGACACTCTTGCGGGACACTCTTGTGGGACACTCTTGTGGGACACTCGTGTAGGACACTCTTGTGGGACAGTCTTGTAGGACACTCTTAAGGGACACTCTTGTGAGACACTCTTGTGGGACACTGTTGCGCGACACTCTTGTGGGACACTCTTGTGTGACACTCTTCCAGCTCCCCCAGATACTCCGCGTACTAAAGTTGTACTACAAGGTCGCCAGTTCTCAGCTTCCAGCTCCACAGATTGCTCCGCGTACTAAAGTTGTACTACAAAGTCACCAGTTCTCAGCTTCCAGCTCCACAGATTGCTCCGCGTACTAAAGTTGTGCTACCAAGTCACCAGCTCTCATCTTCCAGCTCCCTAGATACTCCGCGTACTAAAGTTGTACTACGAAGTCGCCACTGCTCATCTTCCAGCTCCCCACATACTCCGCGTACTAAAGTTGTACTACCAAGTCGCCAGTTCTCATCTTTCAGCTCCCCAGATACTCCGCGTACTAAAGTTGTACTACAAAGTCGCCAGGTCTCATCTTCCAGCTCTCCCCAGATGATCCGCGTACTAAAGTTGTACTACAAAGTCGCCAGTTCTCATCTTCCAGCTCCCCAGATACCCCGCGTACTCAACGCACTCTCGCCTGCATTTCGCGCACTCGACACGCACGATCTCCGCAGAGGGTTGCGCGCGCATGGGACAAATCGCACTCTCGCCTGCATTTCGCACTCGACACGCACGATCTCCGCAGAGGGTTGCGCGTCAAGTTTCCAAAACAAGCGTTTCGTACGAGACTTCCTCAAAAACTCACACGTCAAAGTCTGCAAAACGAGCGTTTCGTACGAGACTTCCTCCAAACGTCAAGCGGAAACACCCATCGGAGCACACACATCACGCAGCCCTGCCAAGCAGTTTCGCGATTCCAGCCCTCCAATCAACATCCGCTCACACGCCAATCCCAATGCGACAGCGACATTCACCTCTACCACAACTCACAACCTCACGATTCCCTGCGCCTGCCATGAATCTTTCCGCGTCCACACGTCTAACGCGCACAAAGTGCTGCGCCTGCCACGAAATGTCACCTCCGTCACACCTCGCAACCTCACGATTCCCTGCGCCTGCCACAAGAATCGCACTTCCACGCCTCAAAGCCCGCACAAAGCCCTGCGCCTGCCACGAAAAGTGACAATATCATCTCATGTGAGTGCTTCAACAAAATTTGCACCACACCACACGTTTGGAATGATTTCGACCCGTTCTGAGCACACTCCCATCCACCAAACTCGCCATTTCAGCTGAAACTTGTCACGAAAACCGAGCTTCGATGCCACACCCTGAAACGCAAATCCCAATGGCACGGCCACATCCAACACCCCAAAAACACGACTCTCCAAACGCTAATCCCAATGGAACTGCGCAGCAATCTGCGGATCTCACAAAACGCTGCGCCTGTGCAGCGAAATGCATCACGTTTCTTGCGCGACATGTCATGGTCCTGCAAATCACAATGGAATAGCGGCGCAAACTGACACGTGACACGTCCATGAACAATCACTTGCAAAAGCTTCCCCCAATGGCAGCGAATTTGAGACGCGACGACGACGACAAACGACGACAGACGACGAGAGACGACGAGAGACGACGAGACGACGCAAGCCATGCAAACATAGCTCCAACCCCCAGACCCCCAACTATAAACGGGAACCCTTCGCTGCGCATTCGGGAAAAACATTACATATTTCAAGTGCAGTGCAAATTCAAGGTCGTCGAAAGCT